CCCCGCCCACCCACACCCACCCACACCCACCCACACCCACCCACACCCACCCACACCCACCCACACCCACCCACACCCACCCACACCCACCCACACCCACCCACACCCACCCACACACACCCACACACCCACCCACACACACACACACAGACACACACAGACACACACACACACACACACACACAGACACCCACACACACACAGACACACACACACACACACACAGACACACACACACACACAGACACAAACACACACACAGACATACACAGACACACACACACACAGACACACACCGACACACACAGACGCACACACACACACACAGCTTGAGAAGGACATAGAGGGAGCTTTGCATTTCGGAGCACGCTGTCTCCATGTCTGTACAATCTAATCCACAAATCTCGGCGTCGGCTTCTTCGCAGGCGGACTTTGCGCATACCCCATTGCCCTGGCATGCTTGGCACTTGAATTGGTACTAGTCGTGGACCCGAGACTTTGTTTTTCTGGATTCACCGGTTTAGCTTGCAGCGTTGGGGAGTTTTCGGAGAAAGCACAAGCCTTTGACTCAAAAGCACTCAGGCAGTGAACTTCCCCTGCAATCTCGGAAGACGTGCAATATCTACCTCCAGAACCCCGGTTGTGTCTTGGCATCTTGTCCCTTGGTGCGGCCCTTCCGAGCAGCCTGGCCTCTTCTTTGCGAGCATGGCCTCGGAAAACTACGCTACAGAGATTGTCGGGCTGCTAGGACTTGTGAAAGGCTCCCGTGGTCGCTCTCCGAAGGGCGAGCCCTCCAGCTCATGAGTATGGGGGAGGGGTAAACATGTAAAGTCAAGGTGTGCACATCCCTGAACCATCTGTTGCGGAGGACGTATGTAGTAAGGTATTGAGAGTCAGAGGTTCATAGGATCTTCTTGTGGTCAGGCATCGGGTGTCTTTAGGGTTTGGCATTCTTGTTAACAGCCCACTGCCCCTGCACCACCCTTCCTGGCCCTTCCTTGCAAACTCCATAAGCAGAGGCCCTGAGAATGCGGCCTGCAACTGCTGACGCTTTTCGTCCAGTAGCGGGTCTTGCTGACGGGCGCCCTGTCGAAGCTGCTTGCTGCTTTTCTGCACTTCATTGTCTGACATCGGAACTTAACCGTAGAAGGCTGAGTGGACTCAGACAGTCTACCAGAGTCTGCAGTACCAATCCTGAAACTCAAGTTTCCCATAACTACACCCTAATTCAGGATCCCAAAACCTAAACCTGATTTATAAAATGCTGAATCTAGCTCTCACGACAGCCTGTGGGGCTTCTGCCATGCCGACGGTTCCTGGCAACCAGCGATACAATGTATGGGTGGGCGGGTGGGTCGTAGGCTGGGTGGGTGGAGTCAGATGATGGTGCTGCGGTTTTTGCTACCGTTGTTGATGCAGTCTTCTTATCACGCCCTAGCTGCTATAAGATTTACCCCGAGTGGTACGTACTGACCGTATCGGGGGGCTCGAACTGCTCTTGTAATCTTCCTTCTCATGGTCAGGACACAAACCATTTAATTTAGTTTCAGTAGGATCTACAGCTGCCAGGACCCTGGTCCTAAGCGGACCTAGAACCAGAACAGAGGCGGATGGTTCCTTCCGGCCTGCACCTGAGCCCTCAAGCCCTCAAGCCCTTGATCCCCAACCCATACACTCATTACACTCTATTACACTCTACATATCCCTGCCAAGGGCCCGCAAGCGAAGGTCTTTGCAGCCTGGGTTTGGGTTTCATGCGCAAGGGGTTTCAATGATTCTCTGGCCTTGTCGAGAGGCCTACCTGGTCCATGCATGTAAGCAGAACAGAAGAGTTCCGAAATTCGTGGTGACCAAAGCTGAATATAGGTTGGGGCATTTCCACCAAACAAGGGTGGTGTTGGGGTCTTTACGTTAGGAGTCGAGGGACTTGTTCAATAATGGCGTGAGGTGCCCGAGGCAGTTGCCCGGCGGTCTGCGTCTCCCGCAGTGGTGCAAAGTCGCACGCCGGCCCCTTCAGCCGGCAACACCGGTATCACTGCAGAACGCACGTTTTTGGCGCTTGCGAAGTTGATAACATTTCGCTTCTGCCACAGCGCCGTGGGGATGTTGCAGTCTTTTCGGGAGGAGCCGTGAAGCTCCAAGGGCACCTAAATCCCACCGTTATTTCAAAACGAGGTTTCGGAGTCTGGCGAAAATCGACACCTGCTCTGGCCGCAGTCTAGTGCGCACTCTCTCTGGACTACGGGGTGCATCAGAGGTGCTGCTGGATCGGTTCTTGGGCAGGGCTTGGACTGCTTTGGCACTCTTTCGCTTTTCGAGGTCTGTGCTGGCATAGGTCTGTAACGAGCTTATAACGGCTGCCAGGGGATCGTGGAGTGCAGGCGACCTGTCTCACTATGTCCTCAGCGCTTGTCTCCAGCCGACTCTTGGCACGATACATTCTAGCGTGATACTTGGCATTACTAGGTATGGTGATCAAAGCTATGGTATGCTATGGTCCGGGTTCCCGCGATGCCAGACGCAAGCATGTACCGACATGTCAAAGGTGGCAGGCATGCGGCTGTCATCCGATGATCTCATCACCACTCTCCTAGCACAAGTGGCTGGGTTATTTGCAGGACGTCGTCTGATCGCAGTGTGCTGATGTAACATGAAGATAATGCCGGTGATGATGCGACGATGGTGAGTGCTCGCAACGATGAGGCTGACTGAAAGAGATTGCAAATGGTGCGGCCGAATGCAATTCTTGCTGGTCGCATGACGGTGGCACGAAGGCTCAACTCGCAAATTACCCACGACAACCGAACGTGCAAGAACCAGGCGTTGTGTTCAAATGTGAACCCCTCACTCTGCAGTGCGTCAGTATTCGAAAAAGCTGCTGGGGACGCGCCTGACGGGCAACTGCGAAGATGCCTGGCCCCAGAGCAGAAAATAGGCATGCATGCAGGCTTTTGGGGTCAAGGTGGTTCAGATTTTGGCATTGATATCTGATATTTTCGGGCTTCTGGGTGCGCCGATAAAATACTGCTATACCCGCAGCCGCAAGCCACTGCAAGCTCAGCAATCACGCTAAATTTGATCAAACTCATTCTCATGATGACAGCAAGAGCGCGATTTGAATGCAGACATACTTGGAGTTGGAAGTCCGGCTAAGTTGCTTGCACTGCGGAGGCAGGCCCATTTGTCCTGGAGTCCAACTCTTTTCAGTGCTACAAACAGCAGCTCGAGGCTCCCTTGAATTTGAGGCCGCAGCCTCCAACCGAACCCAAGAGGATTTCGGCTTGAGTGCCAGACCAGGACTTCGGCGAAAGCTACACCCGGACTGTCCGGATGTTTTGGGGAGTACGAGCAGGCTCCTCTGTAGGGGTTTCGGCTGAAGCATTCCAACCTGCCCCGAGTCAAGCTGATTCAGCTTGCTTCGCAGAGCCTGGGCCGTGAAGGATGCTGGGCGGGAGAACCTGAGGGTTTAGGACAATGTTGGCTCCAGGTGAGCTTCATCATCGGACCGCGAGTACTTCCTTCAGACTTTAGACCCAAAAGGCGAGGCCACCGAAAGACTTTCTTGTGCCAACACAGGAAGGGAAGCTTGAGCCAATGAAGCCCGGGTCAGGAGGCTGTGCTGGAAACCTTAACCTGAACCTGAAAACCGGAATCAGAAGCCTCGTGATACGAACGAACCCGCAAGTTCAAGCCTTATAAGACACCAAAGGCTTAGACTTTCAAATCGCTCACCACCACTCACCGCTGGCATAAGGGTAAGGTTGGTGATAATGATGAAGAAGATGCCTATGATACAGCAGGAGCAGTACGGACGAACAGCATTGCAACTGTGATGCTTGCCGGGAGATAATTAATTGGCTCGGAGTGTGAGGACACCCGCCTGGAGTCTGGAACACAGTGGCTAGGCTAGACTGTGTGAGTCATACTTGGCTGAATGGTCATTTCTATTCAAAACCTCGGAGACACATGCGCTGAAGTGAACGAGCCTAGGAAACAAGTTCCACATTTGGGTGCCTGAACTTCGTTCTGCTTTCTTTCCAGCTGCTGTCTCAGCTGCTCCTGGAAAATGCCAATGCTTAAACCCTGGAGCCTACAGACCTATCACGGAGGACCGAGGTGTCCCGGAAGAAACCACAAAAAGGAGCTCCCTTCCAGAAAACATGCGAAAGGCATGCCTATTCTCAGCTTCAAGTGCAGCTGCCACATAACGATTCTTCACATAAACAACGGATGGTCAGCCAGGTGTCACTCTGCACTTCAAGTCCCAATCACATCTTGCTAATATACAACAAGTGGGGTTCCGAGAAGCACGACTCATGCTGCGGCCGAGCAAAATATCCCAAAGAGTCCACGTACTTCCCACACTTGTATGGGAGGTTGCCGGATGGTTATAAGCTTTGTTCGGGCCTTAGCCCGTTCGGATGTTGAAGATAGAAATGGAGCCACCAGCTTTACCCATGTCAAAGGTTGACACGATGCCCTGCTGAACTGATACGACAACCCGAAAGAAGACGAACGTCTGAGACCTTACTGCCAAAGCCTGAAGCTTCAACCCCTTCACGATCCAGCTAAACGTGAGCTGTCTGCCTCTGGCGAAAAGATAAACATGGTCTTCCGGCTTGGGTCTGAACGGTGCTGCCACTCATTCCAGAACTTCCCATCAGCGGCCGCAAGAAGCCCTCCATCCCAAGACCCTCCCAAGGCCCTAAGGACAGCCGAATCAGCTATGTTCTACGAGTCTGAAGTTCGGACGAAGTACTGCAAAGACTGCAAAAGCACTCAATGTCTCGACAGTATGCCACAGAGATTCACAAACACCATCGGCAAGCATGCAGAAAGCCTTACTTCTAATGAACCTAGGTCCCAGAATCAAATCCTGTCCCCCCTTTCAGCGGCAGCCCTTGAGCTATAGCATGAACGGCTGGTCATGTGGAAAATCCGGTGCTTGCCTTGATCTGTCTCTTTTGGCCCAGCTTGGAGCCCTCCTGCGTTTGTCTTAGGAACTACAGTAACTACTGATTAAGGTGCGGACTCTCTCTCGAGAGTGAACATGGGCACAACAGAGCAGTGGGATGACAGACGGCTTCTGTTCTCAAGCTCATGATGGGAAGAGGCGTGAAGCTCAGGAACCGCCAAACCATGGCCCCACAGGTATTGAGTCCGCAGTTTGCAAATTGTTCGGACTGAACCTCGGTAGACAGATTCATAAAACACATGCATTGAGACATGGGTTTGGTACAAACTCGAATCAACACAGGGACAGAACGAGATTCACGACTCAGCTTACAAAGTCGAAGGCCTTGGGTGCTTCCGTCCATGGCTGTGAACCCTAAACCCACATCCTTCTGCCTGAAAATGTTGCGGCACACCATGAACCCTTTAACCTTTCTGGTCCTGGCAAGACATGCAGTCATCGACAAGGTAAGATCTTCAATCGTGCAATCTGCAAGAGCTGCATGAAATCATCCGAAGGTATTGCAAGCCCCCAATCTGCAACAAGTCCAACAATAGCCATGAATGGGGCGCTGGGACCTTCCGCGGCCCACCATCGTCGTCGGAACCGACCTTCCGTCAAGCGGAAGTACATAGGTTTCAGAGGGTCGAGGAAACACCGATTCGTGCACTGAAAGACAGGATTCGCACACCGGTGATTCGTTCTCTCAGATACGTTTGACAGTCGCGGCTGCCCATCAATGGTGCCTTCTCGTCCATGCACACTTCGACTTCAGGCTTCGTAAGCCGGTTAATTCGAGAAATGCAGGCCTCAATGACCTCCCCGGACGCGATCTGGGTACCGACCTGGTAGGCCGGGCTTGGAGCGGGAAACCACCTCTGAATCTTTTCTGTGCTTTCACATTGATCCGTTCTGTTTTCCTCTACGGGCTTCTCTGTCGACACATGGCAGACTCGTAGCATAGGAGCCTGACTAACTTCATCAATCGAGGGTCAGCATGGGTGTGTTTTGACTAAAGCCTGCAAGCGCCCCAAGCTTCAATTCCAGGACCCGGACACCAGAAACTTACGATGCATGAATCTCAAGCGAAAAGCAGAATCAGAAGGTGCATGAAGAGAAGCTTCTTTGATCCGAGAGCCACCCCAGGGAATCCAAAGACAAATCCCTCAACGTTTCGTCTGTGCCTGTGTCGTGATAGGGGTAAGTTTTAACAGCCTTCTTTTTGTCTTTCCCGACTCAAGCGATCTGCTGCTGAAGCTGTCGTGCATCCGCTTGCAACTGAACGCTGAAGCCTAGAAAGGAGCCCATGAAAGCCAGGCCGCTTCGAGGTGGGATCCGGAAGCATTCATGGTTTCAATGCAGCGGACAAGGACTATCACACTTATCAGAGCCAGGATCCGAACACTCAACAGCTGATCGCTCCCTGTTCTAAGTCATCGGCAGTCATGTACGGATCCACCGTCACGCCCCCAGGATGAGTATGTCTCCTCTTACGAGCCTGATCCAGGTGGGGAGTCCCCAGAGATTCAAAACTAGAAACATCTGGGGGTTAATAGGGTTCAGAGTTTTAAGTCAAGGCTCTCACCTGGAACTTTGTGTTGCTCGTCTGTCTTCAAAAATGGTGGGGCCTTATTGGGCGCTAAGTCCTCAATATCGCGCTTGAAGCCCCCAACTATACGGCCATCTAGACCGCATGTAGTACGCCGACTCGGAAATGCACGCAGCACGGACTGCAGCTTTCGCCTGCCATGTGAACACACTCTTGTGTTTCTGAGCCTCACGGCTTCAACCCCACTCCTTACATCCACATATGTGGTTGGCCATTTGTGCGAATGGCCTACGGAGCGACTACAAAAACCATCTTCATACTTCGGATTCGAGCCACTACCAGTAGCGCTTTGCCCACTTCCCAAAGCCACCCCAACACAATCCGACTCGCGCCTTGAAGCTGGCCCTGAAAGGCTTTGCTAAGCTGCTGAGGCGATTGAGTGGGAGTGGACCATCCGGGCCCACGGCCCGCGGGCCAATGGCCTGCAGCGTTAAAACGCGAAGGAGACTATTAAGCGAGAACCTGTTTGGCAGGAATACGTGTCGATGTATGTGGTTCTACGAACTTGAGTATTTACTAATTTACTAACAGACAATCGAGTGAACAAGGACGCATCTCTGCATAGGGTGCGACCTCCGGACTGATAGCATACCCACACATCGACTCTCCTGTCTGCCCGCTCTCCCTCCTGGCCTCCCTTTCCGCTCCACTCGCTTTCCTCTTATCCCGATTGTCCATGTACATATGACACAGATATATATATATATATATATAGGTACATGTAACATGTAACATGCACACACACACAAAATACTTCTCTCCTGTCTGTCTGTGGTTGTTCATGTGGGAATGGGGAGCCTGTGGAGTTGCTTTGGCTCTTCGCTTGGCCAGTCCGGCCTGGGCGCTGCGCTCGCCCTCGTCTTCGAGAAGTGGGACCTGGCCCGCTAGACGGAAGCTCATTGAGAGCAGTACCACTTCCACAAACATGCACTCACTAGTACTTCCACCACCACAACATTGAGGACGACGACTGCTACGATCGTGACTATGTGCAACACACGCACCAACAGGAATTGGTGCAAAGTTGACGGCTCTCTGTCCGACTCAAACCCAGCTGGGCATCACCAGGCTCAAGGAACTCTCGGGGAAGGAGACTTCTTTTGCTGAGCAAGCACAGCGCAGGCACAGGTCAAGAGATGACTCTGTCACCATGTCGACATTCCATGCGCACCAATCGAACACTGGACATCGGCCAATTGTTGCGTGGATGCATTTGTCCACGCACTGAAGGTCAGCCCGGGTGGCTGACCCCTCGGTGCGCACGCAGCTGCCTGCACAAGATGTACGATGAATTGAACCCCGTGCCGTCAACCTGGCTATAGACTGCTAAGTACCTGGCGTGGCATCACCCGTGCTGTTTTCAGTGAGTGAGTTGCCATCGCTTGTTCCACAAAGCAGGGAAGACAGGACCTTCATGGACGATCATCAAAAGATAGCGCTTCGGCACATTGCTGCTGTCACGAAGACCCCTCTATCAATAAAAGGCTTAGAAGCACACACGAGCCTGTGCGGGGTCTCTGAAGAGCAAAGAAATCCGTGCCGCTCGGATTGAAGCTCTGAGAACTATTTCAAAGACCCTGCCACGTCAATGAGATCTTCTACAGGCTCCGAGCCCCACGGCTCATCCCGGCTCACTCTGTGCTGTTCACCGTCCGGGCATGACGAGGGAGTTGCTGAAGGCCTACATGTACATTTTTTGGGGTCGGGGGTGCGGGATGACCCTATCTGCGAAATCGCCCGTGAGGTGGGTGATGACTGAGTCCCGGTACAGGAGGTTCTGAACTGGCCTGGGTGACTACAAACGGCACGGGAGCAGAAAGGCTGCGTCCGAGGTAGGCTTTCATACATGTCCGACTCTCGGATTAAGAAGTGATGCAAGCTAGTGACAGCCTGTAGTCCTTTCTTCCCTCTTGGAGACTTACATGCATGAACCCTAATGACTGAGCGTCTGCATAAAGGGGCTCGACAGAAGACGTAAAACAACTTCCTGTCCTCGTCCCGTCCGAAAAAGGAGAACTGGAGTCTCACAGCTTCGTGATAGATAGGCTCTTTGCAGTTTACGGCCTCGAGTTCAGGTCGTGGCATTCCGTTGCTGATGGCTTCAGCTTGAAAAGAGACTCCCTGACTGTTAAACCCACATGACAAAACGAAGACATGCTCTGCCTTGAGGTGCGGGATGATTGATCCCATGATCGCTGAGGAGACCACCAGGCGCACTGCCCCTGGTGCCCAGCCTGACACCAAGTAGAACCAAACTACTTTTAATTGGGTTGGGAGGAATACTTCCTAAAGCGATACATGGAGCGTTCAGGCAAGCAGCTCGTGCCTCGCATGAAGCTTTGAGAATCGAAAGCTTAGCGACGGAAGCTGTCCGGACTTTTTGGGGCCCGGAGAACCCACGGCTTGGAGGGCATGGCGAGGGTTTGGGACTTCGGGCATAAAAAGACTTGAGAGCTTTTGGGGTTTAGGGGTTTGACAGCTTGTGCATGCTTTTGCTTGCAGAGTGCTTCAGTCTGCATATTGCAGGATCCCCGTTTTTGTCATTTTGAAATTGCTTCCGTTGCCAGATGGCATGGCACGATGGCAAGGCTATCAATACTCGTTATTACCACGACTTAATGTATAAGGTGTTCATGCCGGCGCGGAGATTTCTGCAAAATTAAGAAGTGTCTAGCCGCGTCTAGCCGTGCAAGCCGGATATACCGGGTGTTCGTTCGGGTCATCCATACAGCTAAGTTAAGCTCTGTCAGTCGAACCTACCGTGCCAGACGTAACACCCGCTTTCGATGCACGACTTCCCAGTGAAACCAGGGCAAGGTGGCTCGAAATCGGTTGAGGCACGATCCCCTAATTGGCATCATTGCACATGGCCGATTGGCTGAATTCATACCCTCCACCGAAACGACACTGACATATTGGTCCTGGCACGGCTCGCCTGCCAAAATTCGTTTCGGCCCCTTGGCAACAATCTCGTCCATGAAGGAGATGTTATGCGTCTTCGCCGCACGGAGCATCTCGAATGGATAGCTCACCTCTGCTTCTGGGACGGTGTGGTGTTTCAAAGCAACCAGTTGTTGTGCCGATTCCGAAGGGGTTCGTCATCGCAAAAGTGTCGCTGTGAGCGTCATTGCGGAATCAGCTTAGTTATATATTGAAGCAGAAACGACGGTAAAGTGAATGCTTCAGACTATATCGTGAACTATCCCTACGCATTCGAGCTGGCAGTCCAAACGTCCAAGTCGCGAAGGACCCCACCACTCCGCCACAGGCCCCTGCCATCATGTGTCTGGGCCCATCTGGAATGTCAAATGAGGAGCTGAGAGCCAGCTCTGCGAACCTTTGGCTGATGGGTCGATTCTGCCGGCGTGGAACCCCACGCATGAAATTAAAGACCACGCATCATGCAATACCCCGAAGATACCAGGACGACCACAACAACCACGACCAAGACAACCAAGACGACCGCGTCCTCAGAGGCAGCCTGGTTGTTCTGCTACGACCTCTACCAGACTCTACCAACACGACGGCCACCGCGCTCAGGGTGCAAAGGCATAGCGGGCCGAGGGCAGGGCAGCACACTCTTGATTGCGTTGAACTGCTGCAGAACAGAACATCATCAACAACAAACAACGACAACTGCCAAAAACAGCTTGCAAGCCTTTCTTTGGGGCAGGCGCGAGGATACCAAAGACGACACACAAAACCAGAGCCGAAATTCTGTTCGGGGGAAGCCCGAGGAATGTTTCTGCAATATTATTGCTGTTGCACGGAGCCTGGATCTAGCGCAAAGAACCTCTTGACAGAACGAACGTGAGCTCGCTAGACTTTTCCACACGGATTCCCTTCCCATGCGAGCTTGATCCACGGCGAACGGATGAGTTCTGTGGCTTCTTCAGGATGCAACAAACTTTTAAGTTTAGCACCAGTCATATTTTCCAAAGCCCCAAACTCATCTCACCGACAGCCAAGTCTTTAGAGACCGTGCGGTCGACCAACTTCACAACGGGATCGGACATCCACTGACGGAAAGCGTGTCGCAACTGCCTTGCATGATCTCTTCTTCAAGGCATCTGCATGCATCATCATTTCCGTCGGTACCAAGCATAAGGCCTTGCACGTCTGCCTGAAAGCCGCAACATCTATTTCCACCCGTTTTTCGGCGAATGCAGGGTGAGCCTAACGACCTGGCGTCCGTCACAGGCATCACCTCTTACTTGGCCCGGTCGTTCATTATTGCCAAGTAGCTTGCGTGAACCGTTTCAATGAAAATCAGGGCCATAAAGCAAGCATGGTCGAAACTGCAGTACAATGATGCCTCAACTTCAGCCCCAGCAAGCACCCGCTGATGTAGCTTGTCCACTCCAGCAAACAGGCAGCTCGGCTCTCGTTCAGGACAGCTTGGTCCGTCGCCACGATGACCAAACCCCCTTGGCTCTTACTGCTTGACGATCAAGTGCTGCGGGATCTCCTTACCCTCGACGTAGACGGGCTTGCAGGATGACCGCTTTTCCCGCTCTGCCCCTTCTTGACACTCTCGACGAAGGCTGGGATCTCCTCGTCGGTCAGGCGAACTTGATTGGGAGGTTCTCGTCGTCCGATGCGCAATCATCCTGGACATCTTTTCCCCTGTTGAAGAAGCCTGGGGCGTGTCCATCGTCATTGGCTTGGTGGCTCGGACATTAAATCCCAGCTTACGAAGCTCTTTGACGTGCTGCGCAGGGGCCTTTCGGACCAGACGAGATTCGTGGGCCGTGATGCTGTACTTGTTACCGGGCCGTGCAGACGGTGGGGGCGGGAGGACTGGAGCTTGTGGTGGGTGTCGTACAAGTGGCCCAGCCCAGCCCTGCAGTTGATCTTGCAGTTCGCAACTCCAACTTGGTGTCATCGGACGATTCCTTCTCGACCCAAAGTCTTCCGTTTTGATAGTCGCCCATAGCGGTTTGCCAGTTGCGACTGCTTCGGGCGTTGTGGCGGTCGGTGTGGTAGTGGCCGTAGGCACTTCTCGAAAGGAGCAAACTGATGGTGGTGCCGACGAGACCGTGGTGTTTCAGGAATGCGTTCACGTACTTGGTGAGCTAGGCAGTAACAGAGGTGAATTCCAAATAATTGCCGTGGCTGTGCTAGCCAAGGGTCAAAGTGCCAGCACCCTTACGCATCGCCGACGAACACCTCTTGTCGGGAATTTTCCACTTCACCACGTCCAGCAGCTGGTGCAGTGCAGACTGTCGTACTCGTAGCCTTTCCGCTGCAACAGAACTCGAGCAAGTCCCTCCGAAAGGGAGGTCGAAGTGGAGGACGTGGAACTCGTAGACGTGTGGAGCGCCTCATCGTACTGCTCGCTTGGAGAAGGTTTCGCGGCTCCCGCCAAATGCGCAGCTGTGAGAAAGGAATCTTGTTCGCAAAATGGTTGCACCTCGGACGGAGAACCGTCCCATCCATGCAGAAGATGACTTCCCCCGCCATGTCGACGAAGTACATCCAAGCGGTGCATACCTGGTCTCGTAGATGAGGGCTCTGTCAGCACGGTCATAGTTTGCGCAGGAGTCTGGTAGTAGTCGCGCGCATCCTTGGCTTCAAAGTGGTACTCGGGACATATATCCGCTAGGGACGCCCGCCGCACTGTCCAAGGCCTCCTTGTCCTTCACCTCGTCCAGCCACGAGAGCACTTCCATGGGTGTAGACACCCGGTGACAACTTCCACATCGGAGACACTGCGTCAGAAAATTGCGGTACTGCTCGCCGCAGCTTTGACAAAACAAAGCTGAAGCGGCTGAGAGAAGCACAGGCTGGGAAGGCTTCCAACCCATTGGTGAGGTGGAGCCAGGCGTCAGACTTAGCCACCACGAAGACTGGCTGCAACTCATCAAGGGCAACGCTAGAGCCCTCTTGACACCTCTCACATCATCTTGGATACGGGTCAAGTGTGCAGATTGCGTGGAGACTTGTCTATGTAGACCCACCCAGGTTGGACTCTAGGTTGGACTCAACGGAAACGCTACGACTTTCGCCGCGGGACCCAGGAAGTGGGTGGTTGCGAACCCAAATGTTGATCGCCACATTGGAAGAGGGATTGCGGTCCAGGGCCAAGACAATGCCCTTTCGACAGTACCTTCGCCGTCGGCGATCTGGGTGCTCTTTCGGTTGTACGCCACCTTGTGGCCCAGCACATTGGAGCGGATCGCAAAAGCGGCCGTTGTAGAATGTTGGGAGATTTGAACTACAAAAGTTGCGACAACATCACAACATGCCAAAGCTGAGCGCTGAAAATGGTGGTAGCTCTGAACCACCCAAAGCTGTAACAACATCACAACCTGCCAGAGCTGAACAAACCCCAGGCTCTGCCATGCTGTCCATCCAACTTTATGTCGATACCTCCCTCTACTACCTCGCACCCCTGGCCGCCCGTCTCGCATTGTTCATCGCGATAGGTGGCCACATGCTCAGTTCCGCTTAGCCGCACGGCAGGCTGGAATCGCTAGAATTACCGCGGACGGAGGAGGAGGGAGGGCCTAGTAGTGCCTGCTACACTGCTACACAGGACAGAAGTGCTATCGGTCACAGTAGGGTCATCACCATGACATAAGGAGGGCTGACATTCCAGTGGGACCTGCGCCCGCGGGTGTCGACTCCAAGGCTGGGATGAGGCCTTGCAGATGCTGGACGCTGACACTGCAAGCCAACGGAACCCTGAAGTCAAGACTGCTAAGATGAGACGCTGGAGGACCAAGTTAAGATGCTTATGCAGACAGAGCAGCTTATAACCGCCCACCATCCCACCATTGCAGATGGTGTTTCGACCAAGAACGGCGCCTGCACCTTTCCAAAAAGCTCCCAGGCCTGCCAGGAAAGAAGGCACCTAAATTCGATCATGGCCCCACGGCCCCACCCTTCATGTCCGACTCGCCAGGTTCTGACCATGAAGTTGGGAATACTGGAAGCATGGTTCAGGCTAACCTACCGGCACCTTCCACGCGGTAGATGGTCTGAATGGCATCGACCATGCCGGTGTAGCCCCATTCCTCGGACAACACAAAAATTTCTGATTCTAAAAGCATCCCCTGCGCCCTGCACCAATGGAGCGATCCCCTAACCTCGCCGCGCCCCGGTGGCCCACCCTTCCTCCTTTCTGAGGACTCATTGACCGGCGTCAAGGCACTATTCTGGAATTTCATGTCCTCCACTTGTTCATGCCCCCTTTAACTCCCGGGTCGAGGCGGACGCGAAGCGTTTACAATGATTAAGCGATCTCCAAACCTCCCTGCTTTGTGAGTAGGCCAGCTCAGCCATTCAGAGCAACGCACGATAGCTGCTTCAGCTCCCTAATTACTTTCAACATGAAGACTTACCACTGACCTTGTGCGTTTTTGCCCCAATGAAACCACAACTTCTAAGTTACTTCGAGAGGCGACTCCCTAAATCCCCAAACCCCTAAACCCGACAACCCCCGACAAAACCAAGGCCCCGAAAGAAGACCTAAATGGCCCAACTTCATCGGAACCACCCAAGATTTTGAACAACCCGCCAAAGGCACAGGTCTCTGCATACGGAACTTTACGAAGTTGATGGGGTTCACGAGTGCGACTTCCGAGGCCCCCGTGGCCATGCCTTGGCAGAGTATGGTTATAGTTATAGGCTTTGAACCTAAGGTGTTTGGAGCCCAGTGAGCCCAGTAACTGCAGGGTCTGGTATTGTAGGTGTCTGATTTGGGAGTTCAGGGTTGTGGGGTAACTAGCGTCTAGTGGACTCAGTCGTTGGTCCGGAGTCTTGAAGTTAAGCATGTGCGAAATCTATGTCCTTCACGCAATTCAGCTGAAATCCAAACCATGCACACCGCGAGCATCTGCGCCGTGGCAAGATGCTCAATGCTTTGCTATCCCTGAAACAGGCTAACTTGTCAGCTGTGATTGAGACCTATACGTGCCTACACTGCGCCAGTGCAAGCACAGTGGCCAATGCCAGTCGCTGTTCGGCCATCGGCCTTCCTCATATCGCCCTCGGGGGCGAACGAGTTGATGTAGAAGTTCAGGATGGAATAGTGAATCCTCGGCCGGAGGGCTCTGCTCTTTCCAGGCTGGACACTGTCTCTATTTCAACAATATAAGTAGAGTTTCGGGTGACATTCGCGCAGTGACATCCTAGGTCCGAGCTAGGGCTTGAGACCCAACTATTCCTAAGGAGCGAGGCCTGACAAAGCACGCTACCAACTACCCAACAGCCTGTCTCGACCAACATGCAGATCTGCACAGGTTGAATAAACCACTTCTTTGGGTACTTGGACAACGCTTAGTCCCTTCAAACGTTCCGTGTAGCCTGAAGCCTCCAACTCTGAGAAACTCACTCAGTGGTGGAGTTGGAACGCTTCACTTCCCGAACTCATTCCAGCTTGGCCTCACTGCTTTCGGAACGGCGCCGGCCAACGCTGTCGGGAGGGCACGATACAATGCGCCTGCGCCGAAAGGAGCTGGAATCCATACTGCTCTGGTGACTAGGTTCGTTGACGCCTTTCAAAGCAGAGATTGTGTAAGGATGAAAAGATGATTCTAATTCTGGTGGGGAACTTGGGCCTTCCGTCTCCCATTCTTCCGATCCTTCTCCATGATCTATGAGAGGATCTACTTGTCCAGCCACATATATATAGATATAGATATAAGTATGCGTATACACACACACACACACATATATATATATATAGGGTGTACGCCGAATCAGGGGAACAGAATCGGAGACCAGAATGGGAAGGGTCGAATCAGAGACCAGGGCCCGGAATCAGGAGAAGGAATCAGCGACCAGTCTCCTGCACCAGCCGAAAGCAGCCGGAGACTGGTCTCTGATTCGACGCAATTTTGGTTTCTGATTCGACGTCTTGCCATATATATATATATACATGCATACACACACATACATACATTTCGGGCCTGCAAACACGGTCGCAGCCTGAACAGCAGCCTTTTCACCACTTGATGTTGTCATGAGTCTTCTGAGCATATCGGAGTCGTTCCAAACTAGGGTAGTGTTCAACTCAAGGCACCTGCATGTTTTTCTGGGGCCTCTGTCAGGCGACGCTGACCTTTGTAAGCATGACCCTCAGTGACGAAACATGCTAGAACCTCCCTACATCCTACTCCTACCCCTCGGGCCCCACAACTGTCAGACTTGTTTCAGTAGTCGTAATCCTTCCGCAGTTTTTCACCTCGTGGCTCGACTCTCCTTCTGGAAGAAATGGTGCCTTGTCGAAATAAGTCCTTGAAGTTCCAGACAAAGCCTTTCCTTGGAAAGGACAAGACGCGATGTCGATTGAGACTTCAGGGATGTGGTAGCTGCCAGCACTCATCTGCTTGGGATTTGGTTTCAGGTGCAAATCTTAGCAGGGAAATGTGAGGCTTCATGGATACGCAGCGCTTGGGCTGGACGGCAAGAGCAGCCTTTCGCTGGAGAAGTTCAGCTGAAGTGCCTCAAGGTTCTGGCAAGGAAGGGCTACAAATCGGGACCTCTACAATCTACGATCTGGAGCATCAGGGCGAGAGTCCCATTGACTTGCGTCTGCGTGATAGCTGCCTCGATTGGAGTAGTGATCGGCTGCTCGATGAGGGCATGTATGGAGCCGCCGATGGCAGCTGCTGCTGCTTCTCTCCTTCAGTTGGCAATGCCATGCGTACAAGCTCAATCACCCGGGCGCGCATGCGGAATGCGCACTATAGTGATGTAGGATGCTTATAATAGAGGAGGACAGACAGGGCGCAGGGCATGGGCAAGAAGATGACAGCCGTGAGCTGTGGTCACTGTCACTGCGGTAAACAAAGCTGCTGACGTGCAGATGCCCCGGCCCCCACAACCTCTCTCCAGCAAGCACATCCGCTTTCTGCCCTCTTGTCGCTCGGGCTCGGCTGAACGGCCTGACTTCACGTTTGCAAGCGAGCTTCCAAAAGACCACCTCTGGCACCTTCGGCTTTGCTGTCTCCGCCGCAGCCGCTGGCGCCGGTGTGGTTATCACCGCGGAAGCAGCGGCCATTGGCAAGGACTTACCGTCGCAATAACACGGGTCCCAACTTAAACTGTGGCTCTGCACGGCTGCGGAGATGTCGGGTTAGAACTGCAGCATGAAACTTGCGTTAGCTCAGTCATATCTTTGTTTCTCCAAGTTTCTGAGAACTTGGATCCGGGGTGCCGGAACTCGGGGCGAGCTACCTCGGGCTCCAGAGAGAGGAGCAGATCTTCATCTGAGCATTAACCATTATCATCGTGGCAATAAGCACGACATCGACGACGACCATGATGATGACAAGCATGGTGATGGCGAAGGTCATCACCATCACCATCATCATCACCATCAGCATCATCATCACCATCAGCATCATCACCACCATCACCCTCACCGTGCGCATCATCATCATCATCATCATCGTCATCATGGAAGTTAGCCTATCAATGCATGTAGTCATCGCACGAGTTCTAGTGAGTCATAAAAACGTAACCGCAATGACTAGATGACTAGACCTGTGGGACAAGAACCGTTGGTCCGCAATCGCCGCAGTGTTCCAGAAAGGCTACAATACACACAACTTTTCCAGTTCCCAGATTGCCTGGTAGGGAACGCAAAGAGGTCGGGCTCGTCGTTTACGCGCCCGGCCGCACTTCCGGTCAAAGACCTGGCGAAGCAGTAGTAAATTTCTGATTCAGGGTTCAGGGTTCAGTTTGAGTCCTGTGCTGGAGTCTTTGTTGATGTACGTGTATCTGTATATACATACAGCATACATACATAACATACACACACACACACACGCACGCAGACCTCTTGTGCTGGAGAACCACCCAAAAGTCTTGGCCCGAAATGTACGAAGAAGAAGCAGGTGCTTTTTGGAACCTGTGATCGGGAGACCTTCGAAAATATTTTTGGCTGGCCGCTGAAGGCTTCTGCTTTGGACTTTCGAGATCTGCATTCACGACTGGGATGCTGTTGTTGTTTCACTGCTGCCAGTCTTTCCAAAGCTTGTGGTTGTACTTGGCGAAGTTGACGATCGGGTCGGTCAGTAGTTTGTGTTTCTTCCGGGGCTCACATCAGGCGTCCTCGGCCCCGACGGAAACAAGACTGAAATGCAATGGCAATCTTGCTATGATGTTGATGATGACGTGTGCTATCTGCCATCGTCAAAAAGATGCTGCTTAGCATTACGTTTACCAATGGCTCCTCGTCTCATGATCATCAGCATCATCTTCATCATCCTCTTCTTCTCTGCTTAGTAGACCATGAAAGCTCCGACAGTATGTATATGTACATACAGATATGCACATACATACATGTACGCATACATAAAATATGCACATGCGTATATATATATATATATCTATAATATATATGTATATACATATATATATATATTCCTGCACGGCCGAATTCTTTCACGTTGCCGTACAGTATCCATGTCCTGGATGGGGGAGGTTAAATCCATAGCCTTT